AAAAATCGTCTTAAAAAGTAAATCGTAGTTCTCGTATAGACAGATTAAAAATGAAATGAGATTATCATAATTAATGCGATTGGATTATAAGTTGTCGAAAAAGTTTCGTGAATCGTATCGTAATTAATCGAAGTTAGATTTAAATACGACTGAAATTCTATAAAATTCGATGAAGATGGAATAAGTTATTTGATATTATATGATATAATATTGACGGATGTCATGAAGAATATGTCCCTAAATATAAGTAGCGATATATCACGTATGAAATCTAATATATACATAATGTATTCTCCTCCTTTACGTTTTGTCACGAATTTATCACAATGCAATTTTCCGTTGAAAATCGCAGATTTCTCTTTCTCAGCGAGCCGAAAGATATTTTCCTGAGAGCAAGTAAATCGTCGAGCGGTTTGTTCAGTTCACAAATCGAGGGTAAAATATTTATATTTCTTTAACTCCCCGTTGCGCTCCACTTCAAATCAAGTTCCGTCGAATTATCGGTCGTGCAATAAGATAAAACGCGTCACGTAACACAAAGGTGAACGCCTGTCCTCCCGTCGAGTAGGAGCGCGTGGCAGACGCGCGACGATATTTTGGCGGGAGAGTTGTAAAAATAGTGTCTCCGCAGTTTCCTTCCTTCAGCTTCGGGACTATAATTAGCAGGTATTCCGCGTTTTACGTATGGCGGATACACGCGCGTTCGCGCGAGCGAGAGCGCGCGCGTGATCTCGCGTTGGGGATAAGAAGATCAATCGGCCGCGTGTCGCGACGCGCGAGCGTCTCCACCGTGTTGGACACCGACGCGAAAGCCCAATCGTTATCAGTCAGCGTACACGAATCTCCCATTAGACGAGCCAAGTAGAAACGGATCCGTTTAGTATCCCGTCTCTTCCTCGAGGTCTCTACCATGCCGACTCTCTGCCACTAGGAATTCGTTATTCGAAGCGATAGCGGAGTGTCTTGTGACCTCACTGCAACATTTTAGAACCTCTCGAAAAGAATCTCGAGGCACCTACAATTTTCGGTTAACTACGTATCAGGTGTATAGTTTCTGTAAAAAGTGACTGGAATTGGAAATTTATACTTTCCATAAAAGTGAATGTTTTATACATATATGTGTGCGTGTGTGTGCGTGTGTGTATGAAATAGTTCAATAAGGTTAATATTTATATTTAACAGTTCGATAACTTAATAAATGAAAATGTTCTTTTAATTATTTTTTAAAAACATACTTTTTATTGAAATAATTTTTGATCCAGGTTCTAAATCGCCATATCAAATTTCTTGTATTTACATAGGTACAAAAAGATTCATATTTGTTTACTTTGTTAAAAAATACGTATAATCGAGTTAGAGATAATTTGATGACTTTGATTAATTTGATTTACTGAGCAATATTAACAACATTAAAAATAAATAAGCCTTCAATGAAAGCAAATTTGTGTCTCGTGACTAAAATTCAAATTGCACAATAAAGCTTTTTCAGATAAAATTGGCGAACATACGCTTGGGATACTTTTATAGTCTAACATAAATAATTACTATGCACAGATTTATTTATGCAAGTCAAAGATGAAAATAATAAATACGCGAGTTTCTGAAAATTTATTTTTTCATGACAAATGTATTAATTTATTATATTGAACGATTTGAAAAAATTATTATTATCCTTTTTACGTACGATGAAATGTCGGGATTTTTTTTTTTACGAAAAGAGAATCATTTCGATAAACTGTTTTACTGCGTTCGAAAGTATTCCTTAGTAATATAATTGTCGATTACATGTGTCCAGTTTCCGGCTCGATGTATAATTTTGGCGGGCGTACGCCAATCGTGTCGTAGCGACGATGACGATGATCGCGACGACATCAATGACGACTGTACGACCCGGCCAACGGCGGCACCGTCGAGACACAGCCGATCGGGCACAACAATGTCCGCGCGGCGCGTGCTTATAAAAATAGCATTTTCGCGGTTTCTCCCTCCTTACGGCTATACTTAGCCCCGGACACCGGTGTCCCTCGGCGTAGTAAACAAATTTCAGGAGGGTCGACCCTCGTGTGACGAGAAGCGCCGTCCGTATATTCCTCACTCACTCGTCTATTTTTTTTTCAGCGCGTGTCTTAAATATTTTTAGAGATAGCGCTATTGAATTTTCGCCGTGTTCGGTTCGGGAAAATATTTCACATATATAATAATTATGTCATAACTACGTTATTTTTTCCTTTTAACATTGATAGCCGAATTAAGAGAAGTTTGGAGAAACTATTATATAGTTTCCATATTTACGTGTAAATTGCATTTCACGCGCAAACATACACACACACACACAAATTATGTATCTTAATATATTTTGAAAAATTTCAAAGTGTTGCGAGATGAGCTAGAAATGAGAGTAGAAGGATATTAATGAATCAAATTCCAACATTGTGTAGAGAAACTAAATTTTAGCTAATTTCGAGTGGAGTTTACTTTAATAGTTATTTGGAGCTTAACAGCTACAGGCTCTCTCTCTCTCTTTCTCTCTCTCTCTCTCTCTCTCTCTCTCTCTCTCTCTCATTTCCCTTTATATTTCCTCCGTTACACTTTTAGATCAGTCACTCCCATCTAGACGCTCGTATTTCTGTGTTTCTTCGCTCTATGCAGATGGCTTGCCGTGTTACCTTTATTATAACCAGGGATTAGTTATTTAAGCTATTTTGCTGCTAGCGAGAACACAAATGGTGCATAAGCATTTGAAATATAAAGTACGCGAAAGCGGTCGATTCTTTTCGCGGTGCAGAATCGGAGCGTTGATTAATGAATGAGATATCGAAAATGCAGTAACCCATGAGAGATGAAAACCGAGCTTGCTGTATCGAGATGATGCAGCAATGATATTTTGTGGCGCATAAATGATACTTACCGACATTAAGAGATATTTTCAAAAATGCTCTTTATAGCATAATATACACGAAAATATCTTAGATTGTTTGACGAAAGTTATAATGTAAAAATAACTATCTCTTGCATAAGTTTTTACAGTGATTATTATTATTTAACTTCTGCTTTTTTTCCTCGAGATGAATTCCCTAGCGAGCCTTACAGGAGAAAACGCACGTTTGGTTTTCACATTGAGAAATAACACCCATGCACTATTATATCCATACTTGCGCTCGTTTTTCGACTGTTTAACCCTTCTATTTCCGACGGAATAATTGCGTCCCGTGAATAATTGGCGGCAAACGATATACATGAACTTGGTATTGATCATGTTATGTTAACGTCTTAAACTCAGGACTCAGACAAGATGAAAATTTTGTGAACATTCATCTTAATTTTTCAACATTTCTCATATTTCATATTTCTCAAAATTAAATTTTTCTTCAAATTTAGTTGCGAATATAATTAAAGTATTAAATGATTTTGTTACTTATTAATTGAACTTCTATAATATTATAATTTTTTGTGATACGGTTATAATAGAAAATTTAAATATATAACTTGAAATAATAATTTCATTTATTTAACTATTAAATACAATAAATTAGATTTAAAAAGAAGTAAAGAGAAACTTACGACGCTAACAAAATTTTGATAACAAAACATATCAAGTCATATTCATTAAGAAATTTATGTTATTTATTAAGAAAAAGAAATTGGAAAAACAAGAGAAAATTGAATCTTAGATTATTAAGTACTTTAGGATTCAATTGAGAAACTATCTTCAATTGAGAAATAAAGCGCGAAGAAAAAAGTGCGTTTCTCGGGAAATGATGAACGTCTATATTAAACAAGAAGGATTATAGATGGAAAGGTATTGATCCAAATATGTCAAGGTGAAAAATTCTTTGATTGTTTCAGATTGTGCTGTAGTCCTCTGAACGTCATTTGGACAGCGTCTGTAGATAGCAAGGACGCGGAGAAGGAAGAGGAGGCGTGAAGCGCGAGCGGAAGATGCCGCGCGACGTAGCCGGAGAACGTGAATGCGGCGAGCATCGTCGGGACGCGAGTCGCGGCACCGACTGTTCACGGGGTACACGATGATGGCGGAATGCCCGTGGTCAGGGTGCACAGTATTATCCGGCTCGTCGATCGAGTATACGGTAAAATCGATCGCCCATCGTGGTGGCAAGATCGAGCGCAACAGGGGCAGCAGCAGCAGCAGCAGCAGCAACAGCAGCAGCAGCAGCAGCAGCAACAGCAGCAGCAGCAGCAGCAGCAGCAGCAGCAGCACGTGTCTGGGACGCGCGACGGGATAATAAATGCCAAAACGGCACGACGCCGGCACGAGCCGAGGTGGATCAAACGTGGGGACGCGAAACACAATTGTCGAATGCGGGCAGGTGTTCCAGGAGGACCGCTGGATCGCGTGGTTGCATGTAAATCGCGAGGAAGAGGAGCAAGAGGAGGGAGAGGAAGAGGAGGAGGAGGGAGAGGAGGGGGAGGAAGTAGAGAAGACAAAGAACGTCAAAGTTCACCGTCGCGAGCGGATCGCGGACAGCCGGATTGAACGGCCGCCTCGCGGATTCTTATCGCACAGCAGGGGATAGCGGGAGCCACCACGGGGGCGGGGGTGGGCTTGCCCCTGCTTCTTCTCGTTGTTGCTCTTCTCGACGATCTCACGCACGTGACGACGGCCGCGTCGGTGATACTCGAACCGTTGAATAGCGTCCATCCAGGCGATAGCAGTAGCGACGCTCCTACGCCCGTTTACCTGCCGCCGCGATTATCGTCCGATTATTACTTGTTCGCGCCGCGCCCGTTCCGGAGGGCGATCAAACGCGCGTCTAGCCCTAACGACGTCGGTTCCGACGAAGGTCACGCGAATCAGGGAACTCTGGATCATCTTACATTGGCGACACGCCTTTCGCCTTCGTCCGCGTCACCCTTGACGTCACCCCTGTCATTAACGTCGCCGTTATTATTGACGCCGCCGCCGCCGCCGCTGCCGCCGCCGCCGCTGCCACCGTCGCCGCTGTCGTCGTCGTCGCCTCCGACGTTGTCGCCTCCGACGTTGTCGCCTCCGACGTTATTGAGACCGTCGCCGTCTTTAACGTCGCTGAATACCGTTGTCGTCAGACATCAAGATCTTTCCATTCTGACGCCGAGTCGTGACAACGAGAACGAAGGGATCGTAGCGCGACGAGGAAGAGCGAAGCGAGTAGCGATAAGCAAGAGATCGAAGCTGAAAGATCAACCCTCCCCGAACTTCATCGACCCTTGGCCGGAGGCATGGCGACGTGCTAACGAACACCCTCCGCAATCTCGCAAAGTGGAACCCGGGCCGTCAATCGATGAAAGGATTCGCCCTGCAGTTCAGACTTTTACTCCGCTGTTAGAGCCCGTCTTCAAGCTTGGGGGATCGATATTGCGTCCGGAAAGCTCCCTACGAGATATTTTACTTCGCGAAAGTGCTTCGAAGACAACGGCGACGACGACGACGACGACGACGGCGGTGGCGACCAGAACGATCACGCGGAACATCGTATACCTCGATGCGACTCAGCACGCCAGAAGCACCGTGTCCGAGAAAAATGACGTCGAGAGAGTGACCGAGGACCGAGTGAAAGGTGATAAGAGAGGAAAAGAGTTGGTGCTTGTGGGAAACGAGGATAATGGTGCGGTCGTAGTTGGTGGTGGTAGTGTCATCGAGTGGACCACGACAACAGTCGCCGGGCCGATGTCATCGTCGCGGTCGGCGTTCTCCGGAGACAATGTGCAGGTGGCCGAGCGTGTAAGGGTGCGCGTCAGTTCTGAGCGTAGTTCATCGAAGGGCGAGCAAGACGACGAGGAGCAGGTCAAGGTCACCATCGCGCGCGACAACGAAGATTCATTTGCATCGTCGACGACGACGACGACGACGACAACGACGACGACGACGACGACGACGCAGCATCCACCACTGACTCAAGACACCTCTATGGAAGCACGTGAGTGTTAAATATAAATTAGATTACATAATATAATATGACTCAATTAATGAAAATAAAAGAAACTATGTTAAGAAGAGCTACGAGCCAAAGTAATAATTTTAATGTAAGTAATAAGATACAATAACATAAAAATAAATGAAAATTCGAATATGCCTACGTTAAACTAACAGACATTTCTCTATCTAATATATATATATAATATAAAAGAAACTATACTTAAAAAATAGTATATATTATTTATTATTTATAACATTGAGAATGACCCGATCGGAGTCGAAACGTCTTTGTACTTGAGTTCATAGCCCTTTTTAACATAGTTTCTTTTATAAATTAGATTAATATCTCGCTTAATGTGTATTGAAAGGATATAAAATAGAAAATAAGAACTAAATTTTTGAAAAATTATATAAAAAGGAAATTACTTTTTGTACAAAAATAAAAAAAATTTTCTCCACAATAAATTTGAGACATATAATATATTATAGCATATTAATTGAAGATTTCTTTAAAATTTTACACAATTGTGCTTAGAAATTTTTAATGTACAAAATAAAACATAGAGGCATATATTCTTTGAATTGTAAGCGGATTATTTATATTTGAAACAATGGCTGCGTTCAGCAGAGAAAACTAATCAGTTAGCGCTTAGTGATTCTTTAATATGATTGGTTCCTACCCTTAGATCCAACGAAGAACTAAAGACAAGAACCAATCATTTAAAAAATCACTAAGCGCTAACTGATTAATTTTCTCTGCTGAACACAGCCATTGGCAAGATGTTTTTAGATAATTTTGTAAATGGAATTCAATTCTATCGATTAAGTTGCTGTATTTTCATATTTACTTTAAACACTGAAATTACATAATTATATTAATGACGAGAGATACAGAAACTTGTATAAAATACATTTACTGTTAGATAATATTTGAAGAATTTTCTGATTGTTTCAAGTTATATTATAGATGCTAACTTTTTAAAATCCCAACAATGTAAACTTTCGCCAGCACACAGCAAGTTTAATAAGATATCGCTCCATTCGTTTAGCACGAGCTAAAAAATAACAAATGTTTTTTCACTTTGAAAGCCGTCATTCTATGAAAAGCAATAAAGCAATGCTCTCGTGTTGATTCTTTAAATGCATCCGAATGAGACTCGCGCGCGTATCCTTTCGCTGGTTTATCGCTTCGCTAAAATCCCTCTGGATCACCCTCTGTATATTCGCATGCGAATAGCGCCATGCTCGTTTTGCCATGCTCGAGCTCGTGTTTACAGGAACCGCAGGATCTTTGGTCAGAGTTATTTTTAACTATTCCAACCGTGTACCATCTTCCACAATCCGGTCCTCCCTTGAATTCTTTCTTTTCTGTTTTGTACCTTCTCGTGCATCACTTCACGCTACCTTTCGTTTACGACGAGCAGAACAGAAATCGGAGCACTGCTCACGTTCATACTTTTGGCTGAACCAAAAGAAGGGAGATAACTTCTTCGAACTTTTTTCTCTTTATTTCATATATTAATTGTTTTTTTTTTCTTTCTTTATATTATTGTGAAAATGCTCGTTTTATGCGCGCATAGAGGATGATACATTTTCTGATAGGCTTAGCACTCGTTCGACACTCTTTCATCCATTACATTTTTATTAAACTCTTTGATAATGAGAAATAAATAACAATTATTATTCTTTTATTATTAATATATACAGCTTTGATCGGAATTGATAATAAAACTGACATTTTCAAGTGTCAGTGTAGTAGTAAGTTTTTCGAGGTAAAGGATGAAAGAAATTTTTCGCAGAATTAATCTAATTTGTGTGTAATCATGATGAATTTATCATGCGCCATCACAAATCAGTTAGGATTAAGATAAGTATGCAATAAAGATTGGTGCGCCAATGAGAGACAAACAGAATATATATATATATATATATACACAGAGAGAGAAAGAGAAGAGTCGATACAGAACAGGGCTCGCGTGTTCTATCTCGTGTTTTTGATTACGTCTGGCTACGTACACGAGTCGTGACTCCGCGTACAAATCAGTCGATTATAGTTCCTTCGTGCACCGGTCGAACGTATTCTTCTTTCTTCATCCTTACCCCTTTTATACCCTGTCACTCCCTCTTCCCCACGTGCGAGTTATACAGCGACTATAATGCTGGGCAACTGCGACGATGGGGACGACAATTGAATTCTCGTCACCGACCATGTCGGCAGCGACCATGTGAACTTAACTTTCAATTTACGTACGAGAGGCAAAAATTGATCTTTCCTTTACAAATTAACTGCAGAAATATTTTATTATCAAAACCTTTGCTAGAACGTTTTGATCCATGCGTTATAATTGTAATAAATTAATAGGAGATAAAGCATTTTATTTCGGGCTTTTCGTTATATTTTGTGGCCTCTATAAATATGTATTAAATTAACCCTCTGTAATCCAACGTTTTTTTTTTTTTTTTACTTTTTTTCCTCGTCTAATCGAATATGGTGATTGATTGTGTTTTTCAAAGGATTTTTGGACTCTAAAAAATTCTGATACACTCTTTCAACATTCAAGAATTACGATATGACCCGAAACTTTTTCACTTTTGCTGTACGTACGCTGTCGAATTTGAGAATAATTTAATAATTCAAAATTGAATATTTGTATGGGTCTTTAAAGCCCCCGGTTGGATCACGGAGGATTAATTATTAGGAAAGTACCGGTACATTTTGTGTTTGGGTCGTCATAAATGTGAGATAAGGTATAAGTGTTAGTTATAATTTATTTATATATCTGTGAGTATACACCGTCACGTCAATTTAATAATTCATAACGAATAAAACTTTCTGGTGTGGGTTTGTCATCGAATTTTTACATTTACGCCGGCCGATTCCCGCGTTGAAATGCACGCTGTTCGTACATTTGTATCATTACTTAACGCGTTTATTTCCGTGCTCCTGCAAGAGAGCGCAGAGTCGTCCTTCTCTTTTACGATCTAATTCGTGATCTGGACTGTTCCCAACGATGAGTTCTCGTGACTGCGCGATGCCCAAGTATACCCGGTATAAGAGGAATGACTAAATGGTCTGAGTAACCGGTCAGGCATCCCAAAACTCGCGATTTATTTTCGTATCCCTAGAAAAGAACTGACGCACCGGTGGAGAGAAAGTACTGTTCTCGTTGTATGAATTCAAAGAAATATCCCGTTTGCGAACCAGCGCGAATTCTTTACGAACAATCCTAAAGAAAGACTATATAACTTTAGTGATTATAACTACATATCTTATCTCATATACTATAATATTAGAATTATTAGTTAGCATTCTTCAGATTTAATTAGAATCATTGTATATGAGTATCTCTCTTTAATATTTGATCAGTAACTTCTTTTTTTTTTTACGAATCCGCACTATTGAGAAAGATAACCCACACTTGGGAGAGATAACAATTTTGCGATTTGATAACAAATCCAAAAAAATCTTTTAAATTGAAGAATTAGATAATTATACT